CTTGCAATTCTACAAACTCCAGTAATCACTTTACTGATCAAATAAGTGAACTATCTACCTTGAGAAGTTAGTGATCAACTAGCAGTCTTTGTCTCCAAAAGGATCGTTCTTTTATTCCTAGTGACTTCTGACCTTAACTTCAGCTTTTTAGTTGGTACTGGTTGAGATCAGTGGTTCTCAACCTTTCTAATGCCACGACCCCTTAATACAGTTCCTCATGTTGTGGTGACCCCAACCATAAAATTATTTTTTGCTACTTCATAACTGTAATTTTGCTCCTGTTATGAATTGTAATGTAAATAGCTGTTATTCAGGATGTATTTTCATTCACTGGACCAAATTTGGCACAAATACCCAATACACCGAAATTTGAATACTGGTGGGGTTGGGGGGAGTTTGTCGCTTGGGAGTTGTAGTTGCTGGAATTTATAGTTAACTTACAATCAAAGAGCATTGCAACTCCACCAGTGATGGAATTGAACCAAACTTGGCACACAGAACTCCCATGACCAGCAGAAAATACTGGAAGGGTTAGGTGGGTTTTGCCTTGAGTTTTGGAGTTGTAGTTCACCTACATCCAAAGAACACTGTAAACTCAAACAATGATGAATCTTGATGTCAAACTTGGCATGAATACTTAATATGCCCAATCATGAACACTTTTGGGAGTTTGGGGAAAATAGACCTTGACATTTGGGGGTTGTAGTTGCTGGGATTTATAGTTCACCTAATCAAAGACAATTCTGAATGCAACTCAAGATGTTTTATGTATTGTCGAAGGCTTTCATGGCCGGAATCACTGGGTTGTTGTAGTTTTTTTCGGGCTATATGGCCATGTTCTAGAGGCCTTTCTCCTGACGTTTCGCCTGCATCTATGGCAAGCATCCTCAGAGGTAGGAGTAGTACCTCTGAGGATGCTTGCCATAGATGCAGGCGAAATGTCAGGAGAAAATGCCTCTAGAACATGGCCATATACTGTGTTTTCTGATGGTCTTTGGTGACCCCCCTTGACACCACCTGGTGACACCCCCCTCGGGGTCCCGACCCCCCCAGGTTGAGAAACGCTGTTCTAGAGGTAAACACAGTTTATTTATTTATTTACTGTATTTATACAGGGTTAGTCAAAATGAATAGGCCAATAAGAAAATTAATTTTAGACGAATGTATGTTTATTGTAACCAAACTACAGCTACGTAGCGACAGATAAACTATCAAAGTTTTGTCTCACCTTCAGAGATGTTCGATATGGGCGCCCCGTGTGACACGGCAGATGTCCAAGCGATAGTCCAGTTCATTCCACATCCGTTGCAGCACATCCGACGTAATGGCATCGAATGCAGCAACGTCTGGGAAGGTGTTCGTTGAGGTCCTAACCCTAACCCTAACCCTAACCCTAACCCTATCCCTATCCCTATCCCTAACCCTATCCCTAACCCTAACCCTAACCCTATCCCTAACCCTATCCCTAACCCTAACCCTACCCTAACCCTAACCCTAACCCTTGAAATTCTCGCTGGACCGTAATTACTGACATTGTTTTAGCAAATGTCATCACACAAAACGCCTTCTCTTTGCTTGATTCCGCCATTTTGAAAACAGCGACCCCTAGCGACGCCTAGCGGCATTAACGTACATGTGTGTTGCTCAAAAAAAACTTTGATAGTTTATCTGTCGCTACGTAGCTGTGGTTTGGTTACAGTAAACATACATTCATCTAAAATTAATTTTCTTATTGGCCTATTCATTTTGACTAACCCTGTATACTGCCTTTCTCAGCCTGTAGGCGACTCAAGATGATTAACGGCAAAATTCAATGCTTACAATGTCATAAATACAATTAAAAACATAACATATAATAAAAACTAAACACATCAATCTATATAAATAAAAAATGTAATGTTTGTTTGTGGGATTAACATAACTAAAAAACCACTGGACAAATTGACACCAAATTTGGACACAACACACGTATCAGGCCAATGAGTGACCATCTATATATATAAAAATGGAAAGGGTGTTCAACGGGACAGCAAAATGCGAAAAACCCCTGACAAAAACTCACCAAATTTGCCGTGCACATACCTCAACCCACAAGGTATGCACAACACTCATCAAAATTCCAAACAACATTTCAACAAACTCACAATTACAAAAACCAACTGAGCATGCGCAGTGCCCAGGGGAGGAAGTACACACGCAATGCACTCTGGGAACTGTAGTTCTAGAACGCAGCCTGCTCGCTGGGGGCCAGGATGCTGCGCGAACGGAGAAAGGAAGGAAGGAAAGAAAGGAAGGAAGGAGGGAGGGAAGTTGAGAAGGTATATGAAAGAAGAAAGGTAGGAAAGAAAGAATAAAGAGAGAAGGAGGATGGGAAAGAAGGGAGAAAGGAAGGAAGGAGGAAGGAAGGAAGGAAGGAAGGAAGGAAGGAAGAAAGGAAGGGGAATTTGGGAAGGGGAAGAGAGGAAAAAAGCGAAGGAAGAAGAAAGGGAGGGAAGAAAAGAAAGAAAGAAAGGAAGTCTGGAATCAAGAGCGAAGGAAGGAAGAGAGAGGGAAGAAAGGAGAGAAAGAGGAAGGAAATAAAAAGGGAGGAGGAAGGAAAGAGGAAGAGAAGGAAGGAGAGAAGGAAAGAAAAAGGGAGGAAAGGAAGAAGAGAAAGAAGGAGAGAAAGAGGGAGGGAAGGAAAGAAATAAAGAGAAGGAAGGATGGGAGCAAAAAAGCTAAGGAAGGAAGTAAACAGGTAGAGAAGGAAGAAAGGAAAGAAGAAAAGGAAATGAAGGAAGAAGTGAAAGAAGCAGAGAAAGAGGGAGAGAAGGTTGGCCACAGCAACGCATGGCGGGTAAAGCTAGTCATTCATAAAAACACTGAAAAATACAGCGGAAGGGACATAAAAAGCCAAAAAAAAATAACAACAAAAATTACATTGCAGCGTATGCATAAAACCACACATATACACAAATATATACACACGCATATACACATACACACACAAAACACATATACACAAACTGGGCCACAGCAACGCGTGGCAGGGGATAGCGAGTAAAATATAAATGCATAGTGTCTCCTTGTTAAAAATGTCCGAACTCATTGTCTAGTTGTTCCATTTTCCTGTGTCAGTTACTCTGCATTTGCAAACACTTGTTCAAAAAGCCACGTCTTGACTTTTTTCCAGAATGTTAAAAGGGAGGTGGCTGATCTAATATCTATAGGGAGGGCATTCCACAGCTGAGGGGCCACCACCGAGAAGGCCCTGTCTCTCATCCCTGCCAAATGTACTTTTGACGAAGGCGGTAACGAGAGCTTAAGTGGCTGAGGGGGAAAAGGAAAGGGCCCGAGGCTGTCAGGAATGGTGGGAGTTGCAGTCCAAAACACCTGGAAGGAGGGATGAAGTTGGCCCATGCTTTTGTCCTCTTGGAATCGGACACTTAATCAAGGGATCGTCTGCATACCCACGTTCTGGGAGTCTTAAGTCCAAAACAAAGTTGTCCCAGGCCTGGTTTAAGCCATGCTTCACAGCCTTAAGGTCTATTTTTTCCCCCCAAAATGAAGTTCAAGCAACATTTTTGGGCTGTGACTCAGCACTTGGCTTCCACGGCCTATAAATTCCAGACAGATGCCCTGGCCGAGATGTTGAGAAATACTCCTTTTTTTCCCTGGCATTGGTGAAGCTCAGACTTATTTTCCCCCCCTTCTTTTGTGTGAGAATTCTTTCATGAGATGTCCAGGCCATTTTTTGCGGCTTGTTTACTTTTTTTCCTGCCTTCCGATGGCAACCAAACAGCATCCGAAACAAAAAGCCTCAGAAAAACAATGCCAACAAGCCAGACTTTGAAGCTGCAAAGCCATTCAGTGCTAATCAAGGTGGCCAATTGCAACATTCACCTTTGCTTCTAACAGGCAAGAGTTCTTTCTCCCACCCTGGGCATCATTCCACAGATATATAAACCCCTGCCTGGGGGATCCTTTGTTGGGAGGGGTTAGCTGGCCCTGATTGTTTCAGGGCCATTCAATGCTTCCAACAGACAAGAGTTCTTTCTCCCACCCTGGACATCATCCCACAGATATATAAACCCCTAGCTGCTCCCTGCCTGGGGGGATCCTTTGTTGGGAGGTGTTAGCTGGCCCTGATTGTTTCAGGGCCATTCAATGCTTCCAACAGACAAGAGTTCTTTCTCCCACCTTGGACATAATTCCACAGATATATAAACCCCTGGCTGCTTCCTGCCTGGGGGGAGCCTTTCTTGGGAAGTGTTAGCTGGCCCTGATTGTTTCAGGCTTGGAATTCCCCTGTTTTCTGAGTGTCCTAATTTTAGAGTTTTTTTTAATACTGGCAGCCAGATTTTTAATATTGGTATCCAGACAGGAATCAATCAGGGCCAGCTAACACTTCCCAACAAAGGATCCAACCAGGCAGCAATCAGCCAGGCTTTGAAACTGCAAGGCCATTCAATGCTAATCAAGGTGGTCAATTACAACATTCACACTGCCTCCGACAGACAAGAGTTCTTTCTCCCACCCTGGGAGAAAGACATCATCCCACAGATATATAAACCCAATTTTCAACAGACCTTACAACCTCTGAGGATGCCTGCCATAAATGTGGGCGAAACATCAGGAGCGAATGCTGCTGGGACATTTCACAGATATGTGAACCTCACTTTCCTAGTTTCCAACAGATCTCACAACCTCTAGGG